TTAGTATATTAGAAATAAGAACTATTTATTATGATATTTTTTCATCCTTTACCCAATTTTAGGAATACTTGGAACAATTACTGCTTTTCAGTTCTGAGAAGCCTAGCATGCCTACTTTTGACTTCCAGGTCCTCCACAGGGGATTTACCATAGCCTTGTTATACGTAGACGTACAGGCTCAGCCTAAGCACTGCACACGTGTAAAAGGCAGCTGCTTGGGAAGCGCTAACCTCTGGTCACTGCTAAAGCACCGTAAAGAAGAAACCAACGATGAAATCTTAACAAAGTTTCTCACGTTAAATCGTCCGCGGCAGTGCGTCCACTAACACCGTAATCTCAGACACTTTCCCTGTGTTTCTCTATGCACCCATAAGCTCTATTAAAGAAAAAAGAGAAGACAGCCGTGAACGCTTATCTGCTGTTACTCTCGGGGTTTTTAAATCCTAGAGGTTCACTCCGCGCCAAGAGAATCCACACGTCTAAATGCCCACCAAGATCGCTGACCTCACAGAAAGCCCAGCTCTGCCGTCACCACCGACCCGCCGCTGCCGTGACACGAGGGAGCCGCAGGTACCGCAGGTGACATTATGTAAGGGAGCGGGCCAGGGAAGGGCTCCCGCCGCCGCCCCGAGCGCCATGCGGGGCCGCCGCCGGGCCAGGCTCCCCTCGCTCCCCGCCTGGGGAAGCGCCGCCGACACCATCCGCCTCTGCCGGCGCCGACCCCGCCGCCCGGCCCCCGCCCCGCGCACGCTCCCCGCTCCCCGGCGGCGGGCCCGGCTCCGCGCCCCGCCGCAGCCAGCCCGCTGCCCCCGCCCCGCGCCCCGGCGGCCCCTCGGCGGCGTAGCCCCCGGCACGGTGCTGCGCGCCCTCCCCCGCGGCGGCGGCTGCTGCTCACCGGGCGGGTGACTCGGCGGGCGGGCTCGGCGGGGCGGCGGTGCCCGGCGGTGCCCTGGCGCTTAGTTCGGCGGCCGCGCGCCCCGGCCGCCCCGGCGTCTCGCCCGCCCAACGCCCCGGCCGCCGCCGCGCGCCAGGCCCCGCCTCGCGCGCCGCCGGACCGAGCGCTCTGGGCGGGGCGGCCCTTAAAGGGGCCGCGCGGAGCGGAGCGGCCGGCGGGGGGCGCTGCGGCCCGGCCTCGTGCCGCCCGCTGTGGGGGGCGGGCCCGGGGTGCCGGTGTCTGGCGTCGCTGCCGCCGCCGCCGCCGCCGCCGCTGTTGCTGCTGACTGACTGACTGACTGACGAGCCGCAGCGGAGCAGAGGAAGCCCTGCCGCAACCAGCGACGGTCGCTGTCGGAGGCGGGAACGCTGCGAGCCCCCTCCCCTCCCCCTGGGGTGGTGCGGCCGCACGAACACGTGGCGCTCGCTGCCGGCCCGGCACTGGGGAACAGCGGCGGTGAGCCGAGCTGGAGTACCCTGTCCGGACATGTGCCGCTCTGTGCCGGAGCAGGAGCGGCTCCGCAGCAGTAGGGGAGGAGGGCGCTGCACATCTCGGGCCGTTCCCTCTTTGCTGTCAGCCCTTCATTCCCGGGCGTGGGTGCGGCGCACGGTGCGGTGCCCGGTGCGGTGCCCGGTGCGGTGCCCGGTGCCTCTGCCGTGCCGTGGAGCGCACCGAAGCTCGGGCGGCGGAGAGGCTCGGCCATCGGCCCGCTGCCGCGGACACACCACACCGGCACAGAAGCCACGCCAGTGCTCCTGCAGCAGGCGCCCACCTGCCAGCCCGTCCCTGGCCCTATCCCCCCAGCTCACCTGCTGGCAGACCCTCGTTTCCCCTCCCGGCTGGACCCCGCCGGTGGCAGGCCTGTGGGGAGCACAAGCCAGCACAAGCTGGCTCGGTCCTGCTGTGCACCACCAGCAGAGCCAGGTTGTTGGCTGGAAGGTCTAAGGCTGAGCTGTTGCAGGAGGTCGCATGTTCACAGGGGTTTAGTACACGGAGGTGTAGGGGGATGTTCTACACTTTCTTGCCGCCTCCTCTCCATCTATTTACAGCCTCTCCCAAGACGACATTTCTGTATCCAACAGCGCACTCAGGGAAACGAGGGATTCCTTTCTTAGCTTTCGTTTCTATTCCTTGGATTAACACTTATCTTCTATAGATATGTGACATTATTCATATTTTGCAGTGGATAGTGAGCTGTTCTCCCTCTTATATGGGGAAGGAAGCATATGTAGCTCTACTGGAGAGGTGGAAGGAAGTTTACTTTTCCTACTTTTCTGCAATAGCACAGTGATCATTCATAGTAAAAGCCCATAATAGTTTATAGCTTACCAATGGCTTACCATCACTTCATCAGATATAGGAGGTGAATATGGTACACCACAAAACATTTCCTATAAATACTCCCCTTGTAAGCACTTCAAAACCAAAAAGCAGGAAAAAAACTACATCATCATCCGGAAAACATGCCTGAAGGCAGGAAGGGAGCGGGAGCTAGAGCTGTACATAAACCTGCTGATTCACGCAGCTGCTCTTTTCATGAAATCTCGGACACAGACCAGTATTTTCACTCTGTCCCTTCCACCTTTGCATTTTGCTGTGGTTTGGCCAGTTAGTGCAGCTGTCCTAGACCTGGAGGAAAAGTTCAGAAACCTTTGTACCTCTGAAAGAAAAGAGCTGTGAGGAGGCTGCCATGCTGCTCCCTCTGCTCATGTCATTAAATGAATACAGAAAGGTGCAACTCCTTGCAAATTCTCACTAAAATGACCTCTCCCTGAGGGCTGGTTCATCACATTTTTAGGTCCAATCAGCTAATGTTTTTAAACATTTAGCTGAAATGGGGAAGGAAGTAATTTCTGTACTATGTTTTGTTTCCTTAATTCTCATTCATACAAAATTTTTTTATAACTATATTAAACCATAATTAAAAACACTATGCTCTTCTTTGAGGCCTCAGATACACTAATATGATGGGGTTTTTTAAATCATGGAATCACAGAAATCAGCATTTACAGACTATCTTTTATATCCAAAGTATCACACAGACCTTAACTAATGCCTTTTACATTGGATTTGCCATACTGCATCAGACTACCAGCCTGTCTAATCCAACATCTTGTTACCAGCAATAGCCAACCACCAATGCTTCAGAGGAAGTAAATGCCACTAACTGCCTGCAAAACAGTTACAACTCTCTTCCAGCCCAGTGCTTGTGACTTACTGATTCCATTCTTGTCAGGCTCCAGGTTCTGGACAGGGAGGTGATACATTTTGCCTTTATTACACATGTCAATAAAGGAAGATCAGGAGCTGCCACCATCAGAGCACCTCTCCCCAAGGCACAAAGCATAATGTCTCAATCAAGGTAGTTTGGCACAATTTTCCTGATGTTCACTTTCAGGTTGCTTGAATAGAAATTAAAATAAATAATTAATTGAAACATTTCACTTTGGGTAGTAGAAATTTTAAAGCATGAAAGCTGCCAGAATTCACTGGAAGGTCAAAGCATGCTTATTTTGTGTGGCCCCATCTAATTAAACAATTAATTTCTCATCTGATGTTTATGGATGTTACTTTTACTCCACAGAAGAAGTATTACTATCACATAATCTTAGCCCATCAATACACTTCTTCCTGGTGGAGACACTGATGGGATTTGGTCAGACTCACTGGCACGGGGCTGGGGGAAAGGGCAGCTCATATATGGGGGCACTGAGACGCCCCACAAGACATCTTACCCTTGTTCCTTTGGCAAACTTGGCAGTGGAGGCTGGGCTAGAGAACATGTTTTACAGCAATATAAAGCATTTCTCATAGTTTTGCAAATACACAGTGTTCTGCACGCCTTGATAGCCTCCACAGGGAGAGTTGCTGACTTCCAGATCCAGACGTGCCACTGGATTATTCAGATAAAAGACACATATTTTTAATCCCAGACATGAAATTCTTATCGCGTCCTTCAAACTGCTGGAAGCACTTTGCATCCTGTGAAAACAAATGGTACCTTTCACCTTCCTGCACACACTTGCCCATCCCTTCCATCCCATGACGAACTTTACAGGTTATCGATGTCTGTTCAGGACACATCTCACATGACCCCAATTTCAAGGTAATTTCACTCCTGAGAAAAGCCACAGATAAAATATGATTCCTGATGGTAGTGCTCAGCTGGAAAAGGTCTCATGACAGTCCAAGCACTATCAGAGGAAAAAAAACATAGCCTAAGATATAATGTTACCTCAGGCTGTCACACAACCCATCCTTGGCCATGAGCCCTGGTAATGTTACCATCCTGTGCGACCTCCTCCTCCCCAGCACTATGTGCTCTTGCAGACAAGGAGGGAGTGCTGTACCTGCCTCATGCCATTTGCTCCCTCCTCCACATTGCTGCCCAGCCAGCAAACCAAAAGACTGAGGCAGTTTCACTCCAAGGACAAGCTGCTACACAGACCCTTCAGCTCCCAGCTCAGTCATCAAAGACTTTTTGGCTTCAGAGGACTCTCTCACAAACTTTTTCTTCTCAGAGAGTGAGTTCTTACTGTTAAAATGCAGGAGAGCTACTCACATTTGGCTGCTTCCATCAGTGCCCCCCTCCCACCCGACCCCACTCCTCTCCTGGCCCTGGAAAGCTGGTAGCTTCACACCAGAGGTGGGAATCACACCAGAGCAGGTGGAATCACATCAGAGATGCCTTTTGTTCCTCGGAGCTGGCAGCATGCCAGGTGTGATTCTAGCAAACAGCATCTCCCACTTGGGCATATGTGACAGCCACACACACTATTGCTCCTTTGCCTTTTTGCTGATAACACCTCTGTAACCTACTCATTGACAACTTGATAGAAATGGGGTTTGTGCAGGAGTAAATCAATTTTTAAGTGCTTCCAAAATTCCCACAGCCCATTAGCCTCCTGTTGAGTTTATCTCTCCTATTTTGCTTTTTTTTTTTCCCATTTCCTTCCAGACACAACTCCTGTTCTGCTAGCCCTTGGTTACACTTCCAGGTTCATACACTGGAACCCATGCACATTTTTCATGTTTAGCAGGGCATTACTCATTTATTAATATTCAGAGTAGATGTAAATAAAGCAGCTCATCTCCAAAAGACTACTGAAGCAACATGGGAAAAACAACAACAAAAGAGAAATCCTGGCACACCATCCACCCTCCTACCTTACTGGAGCATTCAAGTTTATAGCCTGCTGATGAAGGACAAGTAAGGCTAAACCAGGCTATGAGTATCATCCTTGCCATGACATTTCCCTTCTCAGAGTACTACAAATATTCACTGCACTAGTAGATTTTTTCTTTCTGTGACTTGAAATGCAACATGCAGTTCTGGAGCAGCTGCCAGGGCTCTCATGCCATCATGGGAGCCAAAAGACTCAGCTCACAACCTGGAGTTTATGGGGATTTGGGGCTTGAAGCCGTACAACATTTGTTCTGTACATATAGGCCTGTAGCAGAGAAGCTAAAAAAATCATCTCCTGGAAACGACCCAGAGTTTTTCTCTCTCAGGGAAACAAATGAGGCCTTAATTAATTTTCTTTCAAATACAGCAAATTGACTTCTGCTCCAGTTGTGCTAGATTCAAGCCACACAGCACAATGGTATTAATTCCACTTCACTTAAGGGCTAAATATTCAGAGCAAGGAAAAGGGAGTTTTCTGTAGGTCTTCCTCATGTTGAAGTCAACAACCAAACCACGCTGGTTTTCGCAGGAGTGGTTTCTTCAGTATCTGCATTTCTGAGGTTGACTGTGACATGCCCCTGGGTTAGCACAACAAAATGCAGGATATATGAAAGGCACCAGCTAAGCAAGTTGCCTGGTCCTTTGCATATTTTTAAAGGTCTGCCACAACCTGCCTCAAATTTCATTTTACAGGCTCAAAGACAGAAGCACTGTTAGTGTCCTGTCCTAAGACTACCTTACTGGTTCGCTGATCATCCTAACTAGCCCTGCTGTCTCAATCTAATCTTTCTTAACACCAGAGTCTTGCCTGCAGGATTTCCCAACACTGGAATAACACACAGTGTTCTAGACAGGGTCTCCTCAGTACCTTGCAAATCAGTGGTGTACTCCCTCACCTCTACCAGAGATACTTTGCCCAATAAACCAGAAGATCACATTTGCCTTCTTAGCATTTGCTTCATTTGGGTAGCTCAGAGCTGCCCTACAATCAGCATTTACCCCATGTCCAAGAGAATTGCACCCAATCCTAGCAGAAAATTTGCCTGGGCACACTGATGCTGTGCAGCAGACATCCTGCATGGGTATCTCACCATGGTGTTCTTCAGTGCCATGGACCTGTACTAGCACCATCTCATGAATCTCATCCCTATGCTGTGCTAAAAACCATGAGAGCTGGAAAGAAAAAAATGTACAATAAAATCCAAATCACTGAATCCAGTGAAACTGTTAGTTCAAGCAGAGAAACTGCAGGATCTGACCTATATATACATATATAGGAAATAGCAACTCTGCAAAGTTTACGGGAAACTATCCATCCTGTCCCCTTTAATATGTTCAATGATACAGTAGCTGCATCATGGCCTATGTGCTATAGTAAAGAGGTACAGCAGACCTCCTCTAGCTTGTCTGTGGGATTCTGTTTCAAAGAAGAGGAAGGACAAGACCTCTTTCACCATAAAATCCCGTGATTAATTTAAATTACTTTCCAACCATCCTCATGCTGCCAAGTTTATCTAATATATTTAATATACTGCTTCATTATCACATTGGCTATGCACTGCCTGAGGGGTGCTATTATTTCTCTTCACAGATGGAAGAGGGAGGCACAGATCCCATAGATATCCACTCATACAATTTATTTAGTAACAAAGTGACAGAGCAAAGAACTGAAACTGTCCCTGTCTAACACCCATTGTACTCAACCCTTCTTCCTCTCCAATGACAACTTCATGTTCCAGGATTTCCTAAAAAGTAGCTTGATTTACTCACAGCTTCTCCTCTGTCAATTCTGAAAATTAAATTAAGAAAGTCAGGCATCTCTTGATTTATTCTTCAAAATTAAAGTATCTGTAGAAGTCTTTCTATTACACAGTAGGTTTTTGTTACAGGGCATTTGTTAACTTCTTGGATTCCCATCTGTTCTTTCCACATGATTTTGTTTGGCTACATAGAGTGACTCTGTACACCTCAAGAAAGCAGCAAAACTTCATGTTCTTTCCTTTATATAAAACTCAGCCCTCTTCAAGTTGCAAAGCTGCATATTAAAACTACTGTCTGCTGACTTTCATATTTTCTGAGGCAACATCTGGCATAAAAACTGATTGCAAATATGATCAGAGTTAGCAAGATTTTCTTCCAGCAGTCTTCCAGCTGGCTTTATTCCCAGATATCAGCCCAATGGAAAAGAAAAATCTATTTGGCAGTGTCTCCAGTTGCAGTTTCTCATTCTTCAGGTAGAACAGTTTCCAGTCCTGGGGAGGTTTTTGGATGTGGAATTCAGATGATGGGGTCTGAACTGCACTGGAACTGATATGGCCTCTGGGGTTCTGGACAGATGCTCTCTGATGCCTAAATAATTCAGAATCCCAGCTCATGCTGCAGAAGAATAATAGAGTTTATCCCCTCCAAAGTCTGGTATAATTTGAGGAATATAAATGTAATCGTATCATTATAAAGTACCTTCAGCTTCAAACATTCACCCGTAATTAAGTAGAATTATTCATAAGGGGCTGTGGCTGCAGTTAAGGCAGAGTTGGGAGATCAGGTTGTTATCAAACTGTTCAAACAGCAGGGGCAACTCAGCCCTGGGCAACGCCTCGCTGGACTTAATGTGGGTGAGTGATGTGACTCTGTCCATGTATGTTCAGTCTGCCTCCAAGAGTGGGATATTTGTCTTTCAGTTCTCCTGAATTCAGGAAGTAGGCAGGTTTAACACCTCTCTGCCTTTCTCCTCAGGCCATGATAGACACCAATGCAGGCTGAGTGCAAAGCCCCCATATAGCTCTTTTACACTCCATAAGCATGGGTGTATGGATAACAAAACAAGGGGCCAACTCTGATTCCTGACCCCTCTCTCATGCTCCCTGCTGCGTGTCACTCCCAGACGAGAGCAGAAGCAAACAGCAAATCTCTTCCTCCTGTCTGCCAGCTCCTTGGCACAGCACCACCAGGCAAAACCAAGTACAGTCTAGGAATGGAAAAGTAGCTCATATTTAGACCGGAACATTAAATACTATATCCTAGAATATTACATTCTGATGTGGCTTCTGGCAGGGGAAGGAGGAGTGATGTGAGATTTTTGCAGTTCTAAAAATACATAACTGATAAAATCCAAGCAGTGGTGAAGGTAGAAATCATACAAAAAGAGAAAGAATCTTACTATTCAGCTAATAAACACCTCAGATTAGTTAAAACTAAAATAATTTAAAATCTCTAGTCTTAATCTGACAATGTGTTCTGTTTGATTACACTTTGCATTTTACTTCCCCTGAAGAGCATCATCAGCAATGTCATATTCCCCACTGTTCTTCAATAGCTTCATGTTGTGATTTCCAGGTTGTGCTAGAATAAATAGTGCAGCTTGGAAACTGAAGCAGCATGCAAGACTGATCATTTGCTCAAAACCAACAGTTTCCAAGTAAATGAATGGAATGTAATTGCATTTCAGCTTCAGCTTGAAAATGTAACCAGCATTAGGTTACAACTCCTGTTGAGTTTACATTCAATGGCACTTGCTTATTACAGACTATTCTGGGTCACTGCACTATTTGTATATGGATAGTAGTTCATGGACATGTAGTTTGTAGTCCTGCATGGATCACTCCAGTGGTGTACTCTGACCTCTCATACCAAAGACATCCTCGTACTAATGTCAGGTATCCATTTACCTCATCTTAAGTTTGCTCTATGCCCATGGGGCCAAATCTATCACTATGTGCAAGGGCTCTGTAACTCCCTCACGACCCATGAGCTCTCTATAAAAAGCCAAGCCTGACCAGAAGAACTGAGTGCATGAGGCTCAACAGCCACATCTGGGATTTGGTTTGGGCAAAAATACACCAGTATTCTAATTTCTCCAGAAATAACCACTGGCAACAGAATATCCCTAGAAGCAAATTAAATCTTCTCTCACATCTATACTTGTTTCCATGGAAATATGCAGTGACAAGGTTTTTCCCCTCATGTTCTTTGCCAGCCTAACATATTTTTTTTTTCAAACAGCCCTGGTAACTGAATAGGTTCTCCCAAATACAAGAGAGCTGTTCAGTCTGACCCCAAGACAGCATCCATGCAGCAACACTGCTTCCAGTCCTTAATACACAGAGAGACAACTCTTTGCAAATCCTTTCAACCAGGGACCAACAAAACCTTTTCATTACTGAGGACTAACTGGTGTTGATGAGACAGTAAACACCATACACTATGGTGTTACCCAGCAAGATGAACACAAATAACAACTCACTGTCAGCACACTGGCCTTAGACTCCAGCTTTATATTAAAGTGAAGGATATAGTATTTGTAGTGCAAGTCTGTTCCCAGTGGCTGCCAAACATTTGGCTTCTGGCAGTAGCCCTCTGCACTGCCCCTCACCATATGTCACCATCCCCAGCTACCTCCTCACATCCCCTCTCTTCTCTGCTTCCCTGCTCTGTGCATCTGCCCCAGCCAGAAGCTCTATTTCCCTAGAGACTCACGTGAAGTGGCTGAGGCCCAGCCACAGATGACACATTAAGCAGAGCCTCTGGGCTGTGAGCGATGGGGACAGTGCCTCGGCTTTGGGCAGTTACTTTGAAGTTGCTCAGGGTGCTGTTCCTTCACTGCAGAGGAGCAGCCTGGAAGGAGGCTGAAGAACAGCACCTATGACCCAGGGGAGGAGGGAGGCCTTGCCTGCATCTCCCCAGCAGGCAGTCTGTGGCAGCAGGAGAGCAAATGCCCATCCTGCCACCAATGGAGGAAGGGAAAGCTAGGCAGTGCTAGGAGTGCAGGCAGAGAAGAAGCACAGAGTGACAAAGATCAAAGTCAAAGATGTATAAAAGGAGGCAACAGTGAAATCTCACAGAGGAGAACTTTGGCTTTTATCAGGTTGTTACACTGACCTTGTGGCATGCTGGGTTTTGGACCTTGGCTATCAGGCAAGCTCAGTGTGTAAAGTCTCATGGAACTTTATGTTCAGCATTATCACTTAGCAGGCTGCAAAGTCACTCAAGTGGATGGGCTGCAGGACTGTAAACAAAGGATTATGGCATGTGACAAGTGGCTGTTCAGAGGGAAGGGACCAAGGGTAGAATGGCGATGGGAATCAGTAAGACATTAGATTGAGTGCCTCAATAAAATCTTAAACTAGTGCTTAAACCAGCCAGCTGGCAGAAGAAGGTTGTGCTGGAGAGGCTCTGGTGTGTGCTGGGAGAGGTGCAGGAGCTGTATCTGGGCAGGGAAGGGACATGTTTGGGCAGATGCTTGGTGCCTGAACCCCAGCAACAGCTAGGAAGAGAAGGACACTATGCCTAGGAGACACCAGCAAAAGCTGTGTCAAAGAGCTCCTTACTCTCCTCTCCCCAAGGCACTTTCCCCCTATTCTCAGGGCTCAGGAAGGTGCAGGAATATTCTGGTGCAAAACCAGGAAGAATCTAAACAGAGAGAGTAGGCTGTGAGCTTGAGCAGCTAGGTCAGGATCCTCCCAACAATGGTGTAAACATAGCCTGAGACAGAGAGTAGAAATTGCAAATTGGATGAAGACAGGATTCAACCTGGAAAACAAAAGCTATTTAGCAAGGAATAATAATTCACTAACTAAAGTTCCTCTTGGCAGAGGGGAGAAGAGTTCTGGAAAGTCAGACTGTGTTGATCTAACCTTAGGAGAGCTAGAAAATCAGAGAAGGGGACACAAAGAGATTAGTCAGAGAAAGGCAACACACAGGCACTAGGACTGTGCACATAGCTACTATGCCAAGGCAGCACAGAGGTAAGTGCTGGGCAGAAGCCCACTGCTCTGTTCAGGGCTGTGGCTACCATGAGAGCCTGACACACTGGGAGGAGATAAGAAAGGTGATAGCTCCTTGTGCAACTACAAGGCATTGATTTGTGATGACAGTATGAGTTCCTTGTCTCTGAGGGGATATGGAAACAGTTTACAAACATTTGTAGGCATATGCCCAAGCAGGAGGGAGTGCAAATTACTTACTAGAGAAGATAAAACAAAGAGTGGGAAAACCAAAGCAGAAAGTGACTTACAAGATTTTACCAATGAGCTGCAATAGGTTGTGAAATAGCTCTCACAAGAAGAGCAGGAAGGAATCCAGGTATGGGCAGCTTTAAATCTGGATGGGAAGAAAGTAATTAATACATAAGCAATGAAAGATATACAGAAGAATTTGTTGAAGTGATAAAAATATTTCCACCTGCACAATCTGTAGTCCCAATTTTCCACTGTCCTGCATTTCTTGCTATCATTAGCAGTGATGCAGAGCAGGAAAATGTTTATTAAAGCAGGAATGTAACGTTATAGCACTGCTCCACCTGAGCACATAGATTTCTAGACATACCTAGCCAAAAGAGAATTAGGTTTTACAATTGCATCTGGGAAAATGACTCAGCAGCAGCGATCCTCTTCAACTCATCCAGTCATATCCTCCTGCCCCATCCCAAATCTCCTTTACTCTTCATGAGGTAGGGATATGATTCCATGTTTGGACAGTGTGTGTTAATGTCTCCTAAAGTCACATCCAGCTGCTTTTAAAAAACTCCCGATTAATCCCTTTTTAATTGCCTGTGGAAGACCACCTCCTTATGAGGCTCCCAAAGATTGACAAGGAAACCTGAGGAGATCAAAGCCCAAATACAGTCCCAATGAAGGTTGAAATAGCCACCTGCCAAAAATTTGGAGAAGCCCACACCTTACCTGGCATATATGCTTACCAGCTTAATATTTTCCATGAGGAGGGAGCACAGCCATGGCTACAGTGCTACAGCAAGTATGAATGGTTAGCCCCAGCAGAGAGCTGTTCCCTGGACTGAGGATGTTTCACATAACTAATTACCAAGCTTTATAACCATCCCCTGCAGACTATCATGATGATGAATGAATGAGATCAGACTAGTCCATATGGTTTATTGGTGGAATTTGCCCACATGCTTTAGATGCATCATTACTCTGTGTACTCATCAGCATGGGGATAAACACAGTTCAAAGTCTTTGCCCATACAATATGAAATCACAACCAACCTGCAGCTCCTCAGCTTTATCTCAAGAACTCTTCAAGCCTTTTTGGTGTCCTGTTCCTCTGTATCCTTGTCCTGGGCCATCCTGCAAGTCCTTTGGTGAATGCCATGTCCTTCCTTATTAAAGTAAAGCATAGTAAGCTGCACCTGTAGAAGTTAAACAAGAAATTGTTGAAAAACTTTGAATTCGTAACACAGTGGCTAATAGTGTGTTGACTACTCTTGTCCTCTGCCTGACAAAATCAGAGTTGCTCCACTATGTGGCACAGATGCTCTGCAGCTCCACAAGCAGCAATGATCCTCTTTCTGCTGACTGCTATTTCCAGAGCAGAGCATTTCTCAACTCCACTGAGGCTGTTGAGCCCAGGAACCCTGTAGAAACAGGGGATATTTCAAAGTAACTGCAAGCACCATGTTCAGAGTAGGTACCCAAAAAGGTGTACTGTATTGCCTGACACATCCCTGCGTCAAGCAATACCTTGCATTAGCACTAAAGGGAATAGGGTTTCATGGATGGAAACTGCTTTGAGCTGAAATCTGAGAGCTGTACCATTCCTTTCCAGCTCTGAATTCCCTAGGCGGTCCAAGGCAGGCACCTTCATCTCCCTGTGGCTCAGTTTGCCATCTGTAAAACTGGGTTAGCATCCCCTCCTCCTTCTTACATCACTTTTATCCTTACCAATATTGACGGTAAATAGAGACGGGCTTGTTTGTGTGCGGGCCCAGCGCAAAACAGAGGGCACGACCGTGAAAGTGCCGCTCCTATGGGGAAGGTCTGCAGGGAAAGATAAGCGCTCGGAGGGGCAGGTGCAGAGCAGGATGCAAGGATGCAGGGATGCGCACGCGGGGAGGGGGGACGCCTGCAGGGAATGACACATGCGAGGCGGGCCGGGCGCTCGCCCGCCGCCCGAGCCAGCCCCACGCCGCGCCCGCCGCAGCGCTGCCCCCGGTCCGGCCCGGCACCGCCGCGGGGCTGCGGGGCGGGCTCCCCCCGCGCCCGCCTCCGCCCGCCCCCCGCGCGGGGCCGCAGCGGGCAGCGCGGGGCGCCGCAGCCTGCGGGCGGCCGTGCCCGCTGCCGCCGCCGCCCCGCAGGTGGGGGCGCCGCGCGGGGCCCGGGGTGCCATGGAGGAGCCGCCGCCGCCGCCGCCGCCGCCGCCGCCGCCGCCGCCCGCCTGATCCCCGAGGCCGCCGGCACCGAGACAAAGCGCGGGGCTGCGGCCGCGCCCGCCCGGTGAGTGCCGCGGGGGGCCCGGGAGGGAGGGGGGCTCCGTCTTGCGCCGCGGGCACCAGGGCGGGGGGAGGTCCCGGTCCCGCAGCCAGCCCTGCCTGACACCCCCGAACATCCCCTTCCTCATTCACGCCCAGACACTCCCGTCTGCCGCTTCGCCAAGCCCAGCGCACCGCAAGCATCCTCGTTCATAGCCCGGCCACCCTCAGCCCAGACTGCCCTCCCGGCCCAGCCATACGCCGTGCACCCGCAGCACCCCTGCTCGTTGCCGAACGAGCCCGCGCCCACTGCCCAAACCTGCCGCAGGGGCTCTGAACGCCTCCCACGTCACCCCAAACACCCCCGTCACCCCAAACGCCCCCACGCACACCACTGTGCACAGCCCGCGCGTCCTAAAGACTCCCCCATCACGCCCCCGTTCCCGAGCAGGCGCTCCCACCACCCCGCAGACCTCCCAAACGCAGCTCCCGCCCCGGGCACTCCCCGCCACCGGACACTGCCCCGCAGCGCCCAACACCTCCCGCAACCTGCCCCCTCCCTGCACAGACACAGCCCTGCTCAGCCACTGGCGGTGCAGACCCCGCCGCCCCCTTCCAGCCGCTCCTCGCCCCTGCACGGGGACACAAAGGGGTCCGTGCGCCCGCCCGCTCACCCGCCGCCGCTCTCTGCCCCGCAGGCCGAGCCATGGTGGAGCCGCCGGCCGAACCTCCCCCGCAGCCCTGCCCGGCGCCCGGGGGGGCGGCGGGGGGAGAGCCAGCCCGTCCCGGAGAGCAGTCGCCGCTGCTGCACCTGGATCTGTACAACTTCGACTGCGCGGCGGCGGAGGGCAGCCGGTACGTGCTGACCAGCCCGCGGTCGCTGGAGGCCTGCGCCCGCTGCGCCGTGCGGCCCGTGGAGCTGCTGCCGCGGGCGCTGGGAGACCTGCTGCGGGAGGCGCCCGGGCGTTCCATGCGGGTGGCTGCCGGCCTCTACGAGGCCTACGAACGGGAGCGCCGCCGCAAGCTGCAGCAGTGCCGGGAGGAGCGGGAGAGGATTATCCGGGAGGAGAAGAGGCGGATCCTCGCGCCCCTCGGAAGCCTGCCGCCCTCGCCCGCCGCCCGCGTCGCCTCCCGCGCTGCCGCCGCCGCTGCTGCTGCCGCCGGCGGGCCCCGGACCCATGGCGGGGGGAAGGCCAGGGCGTCGAGGGGTGCCAAGGGCAAGAGCCACTCCCTGGACTCGCTGCAGAAGCGCCGTGAGGGCAGCTGGGGCAAGACCTCTTCGGAGTCGGGGGCCTCGTCCTCCTACAGCGGGGAGAGCTTGCGGGAACGGGGGGGCAAGGTGGGCGGCCGGGGCCGGGGGGCAGCCACTGCCAACGGGTCCTTTCTGGGGCGCAGCTTCAGCCTGGGTGACCTCAGCCACTCACCACAGACTGCCCAGAGGGTCGAGAGGATCGTCAGGGAGGTGAAGAGGAAGAAGGGCCTCTCGGAGGTGCCTGAGAGGGACAAGAAGATTGCGGCACTGATGATTGCCAAGCACCAGGAGGCCAACATCCTGCGGGAGCAGCGGCAGGCAGCCCATCTTCAGTGGGACAGCCAGCGGCGCCTGGCTGAGCAGCGTAAGGAGCAGGAGGAGAAGGAGAAGCAGAGGGCCCTCCTGCAGGGTCAGCGGATGTGGGAGAGCCAGGTGGAGAAGCGTCGTGGGAGGCTGTACCAGGAGCAGGAGGAAGCTGCCCTGCTGAAGCAGAGGCAGCACCTCATGTGTGAGGAGAGGTGGCGGGAGCAAGCAGAGAAGCAGGAGCGGCTGCGGAGGGAGAGGCTGGAGAGGGCCATCCAGGAGGACAAGCAGAAGAAGCTCCATCAAGAGCTCAACCTGAAGGCAAAGGAGGAGGTCAAGAAGGAACACCAGGAGCGAGAGGAGCAGCTCCTGCAAGAGAAGCTGTCCACAGCTGCACAGAAGAGGCTGAAGAAGGAGGTGCAGCTGCAGAAGGAGAAGAGACTGTTCAACCAAGCAGAGAAGCTGAAGCACGAGGCCTTGCTCAAGGAATTGGCCAAGCAAGAGGCAGAAGAGAAGGAAATGCTGAAGGCCTCCCTGAAGATGAGTTTGACGAAGGCTCAGGAGAACTATGAGCAGCTAGTGGAGAAGAGAAACCAGGAGCTGAGGGAGAAGGCCAGGCGTGAGGACATGCAAATCCAGAGAGCTAAACTGGCAGCAGAGAAGAAGGAAAGAGAGCAGAAGGAGCACTTGGAGGCACTGGCTAGAGAGACAGAGAGAAAGCTCCAGCATGCTGCCCAGGTGGCTGAAGAGGCCGTTCAAGAAAAAGCTCGCAAGGTAGTCTTGAGTCGTCTGGAGAAGGAAAAAGTGCAGAAGATGAACAAACAAAAGGTGGAACAGTATGAAGACTTACGACGCAGAGAAATTCTCCTCTCTATAGAGAGGAAGCTGGAGAGAAGCGAGCAGATCTTCAAGGAGAAGAAGACTGTCTTAGAAAATGCCAGATCCGTCGCTCGGGCATCCTTCCACGTGCGGGAAAAAGTACGGGAGGAAACAAACATGCGCACCTTTGACAAGATGGCCTTTGAAGCAGAACTGCATGCTCACCTTAACAAGAAATGAAAGATCTTGTCATGGATGAGTGGGGGTACACCACCAGTTGTCCATCCTAATGCATCAGAAAGCTCCTCCACATGAACATTTGAAAAACAACAACAATCAACATCCACCCTAATTTCTTATTCTGGGGGAGCAGGGTACCGCACAAAATTGTGGCAGCTATTTCACGTACTGTTTTAAATACATTTTTTGTTCTGGGTGTGTTTTAAGGACTGACCTCAGTCATCTTTCCAGAGGAGAAGCAAGTTTTTGTGTCCTCCACCCCACAAGCACACACAATTTTTCAGAAAGGGCTGCAGAAGAAGTCTGCTTGAAGCCTGTGAGTACTGATGGGTTGTTTACACCGGAGATGACTACAGCTGCATTCTTTTCAGTTTGCAATGCAGACAACAGAGGCAATTAACTATTAGAGCCTACTAAGTAAGAACCAAAACCGTCTGAGCTGATTCTGCCTTGAGTGACAGGCAGTTTGGTTTAAGTTATGGGACTGCATTTTCAAAGCTGCTGCACTTCCATGCTGAAGATGAGGAAAGCTGGAGTACAGAATTCCATATGCCCCGGGTGCCCCTTGCCCGCTGCTGGTACCAAGTTAGAGAAAGCACAGATCAAGGCCATGTAAGTAGACATTATGATCAGAGCTGGGCAGAAGCTGTTAGTGCTCACAAACACAGTTTCATTTTTGCTGTTTGTAATTGTTGCCCCTCCCAAGTATCCCCACCTCTCCTTCTCCTTTTCAAGTTTCTCTTGCAAACATCTGTAGAATTTCTTCTTTTCTTTTGGAAGAAGGGGAGAAGGAGAGAAAATTGTGGGTGAGTCACAAACTGATGGGCACCCACATAGCACACTTGTTCATTGTGATATAAAAATGAGTGAACCTGTGAAATCTGGACTTAGGGGGAAATATGGGGATCGATTGTAAATGGAAATCTGTGATTGCATAGATTGCATAGAGAAATCACCCTTGGGAATTCTTAAAATTCAAGGAGACTCTCAGCCCCTTAGCCAGTTGGGCCCACCTTGAGCAAGATGTTGGACCAAATGTCCTTCAGAGTTCCTTTCCAGCTTAATTGTTCTATGAGCTGCATACGAGACATTCACCCAGCTCTTATCATCGTCTACTGAGCAGAGGAGCATTTCTCTGTCCACTGGTGCTAACAGTTGATTTCTCATATACGGCACAAGAAAGACTAGATGCAGAAAATGAGGTACATTACAGATTCTTTTAGATGAGGATCATGTCTTTTCTATAACTCTTAACTCAATACTGTTTAGAGGAACTGAGTCCTGCCATTAAATGCACTGGAAATGTGAAAAGCCTACCTACACCCCCTGCACAGTGTTCAAGTAAGACAGTGTTCTGCTGCAGGTTTCCACATTTACTCTCTGTTGGGTTGGAGTTACAAGCACAAATTCAAAGCAGGCACTTTCTGCTGTTTTTTTCTGGCTGCTGACAGCATCAGCTCTCTGTTCCACCATCCATGACGCCATGCTGGGTTGCTCTGGTGATGGCAGCCAGACCTGGAGCATGGAGGAGAAGCAGCAAGAACAGACAGGATCTTGTTTCCTTGTGGATGTCTCTTACATACCACACAGTAGAAGAGAAAACAAGGAGAAGGTTGACATGTGGAACAGACACGCAGTCCTGCACGCATAGATTGCTTACCAGAATTTCCCAGAAGATAACAGCAGGTCAAAACCCTCTTAGAAGACTTTAAGGAAGGTGT